GATTGTTCTGCCAGGATACTATCTGTATACAGAAAGAGATGAAACTTCTGGACAGAGCATTATTCAACAAATGTGGTTTCTACTCAGATTTAGAAATATCACAACATCAGAACCAATCTCCCTATATTAAGACAATGAAATGTTGTTCAAGATTATAGCAAAGGAGAAAACAGTGCAATTTGAAAATTAATATTAACATGTAGTATGGAATCGAGTCAGAATAGAACCTGATGTTATACATTCTTTAAAAACCAAAATATATGATACATAACTTTATGTCCAACTCAGAAGTGAATGCTAAAATTTTAGAGTAGGGATTCTTAAAAGATCTTGAAGCCTTTGCTGCCAAACTCCACTCTCTGAAGCTAGTAGGGCTGCCAGGTGAGAAGGAATTGTTACCCTCAGCTACAAACCCTGACGGCCCTCCTAAGCAACTTGACACCTTAGCAGGGATGTTCCCAAACGACCATTTCCAGTCATTAATCATAAGAAAATGGGGAAATCTGAGAAATCCTATTTCAGGGGACATAAATACATATCAACGATCTTAATAAATTTAAAAGTGGAAATCCAAAAAATGCAAGCATAATCTGGAAATTTTGACATGACTTCTGAACAGACTATAAAGTAATTATTAATTTGTATAAAAGTAAAGAAAAAAGATTTGAGGGGAAGACCTACTCTCATCCTCAGCATTGTTATTAATATCATCATCAAAGAAATCACAAGAGGTAGCAGAAAATATTTCAAGTTAAATAATAATAAAAATATATTTAAACAAACATTATATAATCTATGAGCAGCCAATAAACACATGAAGAAGGGTTCAATATCAATAGTCATCAGGGAAATGCAAATTAAAAAAAGATACTATTAAAACTACCAGAATAGATGTAATTAAAAAGACTGACAATAACAAATGTTGACGAGGGTGTGGAGACCAGAATTCTCATACATCGTTGGTAAGAGTGCAAAATGGTACAGTTACTTGGGAAAAGGGTCTGGCAGTTTCTTACGAAATAAAAGATAAATCTATCTTAAGTGACCCAGCAATTAGTCTCCTAGATATATACCCAAGAAAATGAAAACATGTTTCACAAAAAAACTGGAACAAGAATGTTAACAGAAGTTTTATTCATAATTGCCAAAATCTGGAACCAGACCAGTTGTCTATAAATAGAATGGATAAATAAATAGTGGTTTAGTCATACAATGGAATACTACTCAGCAATAAAAAGGAATTATCAATACATGCAACAACATGGATGAATCAAAAAACATTATATTGAGTGAAAGAAGACTTCAATAAATGGGTACATATGAAACTCTATAATCAATATTAACCTATGGCAAAAAAAAAAAAAAATCAGATCAATGGTGCCTCTGCGGAGGATGCGGACTTACTGATATGAGGCATGAGGGAACTTCCTGGGGTGATGGTAACATTCTGTATTGTGAAAGGGGTTTGGGTTGCACATGGGTGCACTGGTTAGAGCTTATCAAATAGTACTTAAATGTATGCCTTTCATTGTATGTAAATTTTGTCTCAAAGGAAAAAAATGTAAACAAGCATTGAGCTCTAATTAATGATTTGCATGGTGAACTATTTGATGCCTGCAATTTACTTTGATATGTATCAAAACATACAATGGATCGACAGATGGACAGTTTGAAATGAGACAGAGGGATATAGAGATAGAGAGATAGATATCTCCTGTATTATTTCTTTTTCTGAAAGTTAATGTTTTGGTTTTTTTTAATATTTATTTATTTAGTGTGTGTGTGTGGGTGGGTGTGTGGGTGTGTGTGTGAGTGTGAGGAAGATCAGCCCTGAGCTAACATCCATGCCAATCCTCCTCTTTTTGCTAAGGAAGACTGACCCTGAGCTAACATTCATGCCCACCTTCCTCCACTTTATACAGGACACGGCCACAGCATGGCCTGACAAGCGGTGCGTCCGTGCACCCCCGGGATCCTAACCCCGGCCACCAGCAGCAAAGCGTGCGCACTTAACTGCTACGCCACGGAGTCGGCCCTGCAAGTTAATGTTTTTATTAACATTTCTTGTTAATGAATAACAGAAAAGGACCTTAACAGAAAATAAAGGAAATCAACAAACTATATACAAAATGAATGAATAAATGAATGAAAATGAAAAAATGAATAAAATTAACATTTAACTTATGCTAGAAATATTCTCTTCTTTTTTTTGATAACAGCTTTATCAAGATATAATTCATATACCATACAATTCACCAACTTAAAGCGTACAGTTCAATGGTTTTTTAGTATGTTCACAGAGTCATGCAGCCATTTACCAAAATTAATTTTAGAACATGTTCATCACCCCATGAAACAAACTCTGTACCCTTTAGCCATCACTTCCAGCACTCCTAGCTCCCCAACCCTAGGCAACCACTAATCTACTTTCTGTCTCCAAAGACTTGCCTATTCTGAACATTTCATATAAATGGAATCAGACAAATATGTGACTTTTTGTGACTGGTTTCTTTCACTTAGGATGTTTTCAAGGTTCATCCACATTGTAGCACGTATCAATACTTCACTTCTTTTTATGGCAGAATAATATTCCATTGTATGGATATACCATATTTCTTGTATCATTTCATCAGCTGATAGATATTTGGATTGTCAGTTTTGGGCTATTACGAATAATACTGCTATAAATATTCATGTACAAGTTTTTGTGTGGACATAACATTTCATTTTTCTTGGCTACATACCTAGGAGTGGAACTGCTGAATCAAATGATAACTCTACGTTTAACTTTTTAAAGAACTGCCAGACTGTTTTCTAAAGTATTTGCACCATTTTACATTCCCACTAGCAGTGTATGAGGGTTCTGATTCCTCTAAATCCTCACCAACCTTTGTTATTATCTTTTTTTATTATAGCCATCCTACTGTGTGTGAAGTGGTACCTCATTACAGTTTTGATTTTCATTTCCCTGATGACCAATGATGTTGAGTATCCTTTCATGTATTTATTGTCCATTTGCATATCTTGCTGAAGAAATGCCCATTCAGATCCTTTGCCCATGTTTTTTTTTTTTTTTTTTTTTTTAAAGATTTTATTTATTTATTTTTCCCCCCAAAGCCCCAGTAGATAGTTGTGTGTCATAGCTGCACATCCTTCTAGTTGCTGTATGTGGGACGCGGCCTCAGCATGGCCGGAGAAGCAGCGCGTCGGTGCGAGCCCGGGATCCGAACCCGGGTCGCCAGCAGTGGAGCGCGCTCACTTAACCACCAAGCCACGGGGCCGGCCCTGCCCATGTTTTAATTGTTATCTTTTTATTATTGAGTTATAAGAGTTCTTTATTCTAGATACAAGTCCCTTATCAGATATATGATTTGCAAATACTTTCTCCCATTCTGTGAGCTTTCTTTTCAGTTCCTTGATAGTGTCCCTTGAAGCACAAAAGTTCATAGTTTGGTTAAGCCCAATTTTTTTTTTCTTCCTTTGGTTGCTTGTACTTTTGGTGTCATATCTAAGATACTATTCCCTAATCCAAGATTTATTCCAATGTTTTCTTCTAAGAGTTTTATAATTTTATTATATTTTTTTATTTATTTTTTTGTGAGGAAGATCAGCCCTGAGCTAACATCCGATGCCAACCCTCCTCTTTCTTATTTTCTGAGGAAGATTGGCCCTGAGCTAACATCCGTGCCCATCTTCCTCTACTGTATATGGGATGCCGCCACAGCATGGCCTGCCAAGCAGTGCTTCGGTGCATGCCTGGGATCTGAACTGGCGAACCCCAGGCCGCCGCAGCGATGCATGCACTTAACCGCTTGCGCCACCAGGCCGGCCCCAAGAGTTTTATAATTTTAGATCTCACATTTAAGTCTATGATCCATCTTCAGTTAATATCCATTTATGTATATGGTGTGAGGTAAGGGTCCAACTTCATTCTTTTGCATGCGGATATCTATTTGTCCCAGCAGCGTTTGTTGAAAAGACTTTTCTTTCCCCCACTGAATAGTCTTCAACCACCCTTGTTGAAAATCAATTGATATATGTGTATATTTCTGGACTCTCAATTCTATTTCATTCATCTATATGTCTGTCCTTATGCCAGTACCACACTTTCTTGATTACTGTTGCTTTACAGTAAGTTTTGATGCATTTTTTTCTTACTACCTGATTTTTTCACTGAATATATTCTGGTAAACACAAGTTTTCATACACAACATATGTTATATATAATATAATAATTGAGATCTTTTTTAACATACGTGTTTATTTACAAACATATGAATAAATAGTCCCTACAAAATAAATTTGTAGAGGTTGGTCAAAAGGACTGTGCATTGTAAATTTTGATAGACATTGATAATGTGCCCTTCAAAAAAGTTATACCAATTACACTCCCACCAATAACGTAGGAGAAAGTCTTTCATCCTACATCTTCTGCAATGTAGTGTATTACCAAACATTTAAATCCTTACTCAATATTTTTCTCACTTTTTGATCTTCTCTGTTGTGATAAATCCCATTTGGCAAATAAATACATGCAAAAAAATTAAGACAATTACTAATAAAATGTTTCTACTAACAACTCCATTTTTGGGAATTTACTTTAAATAAATAGTTTAAAGAGGAAAAAAAGAGGTGTTCAAAGTAATGTTATTTGTAATACAGAAAAAAATGATTGCATACTAGAGGCTGATCGACAGGAAAACGGTTAATTAAAATATGGTATATTCACTAAACAGAGTATATCCAACTATTAAAAACTAAATGTCTGTAGCCATATAAAAAATACTTTATGTTAATTTTTAAAAGCAGGATACAAAATCGTATGTACACTCTCTACACTGATTATAACTATCTTAAAATTACACAGGGATATGGAAATGAGAATATATAAATGACTAGGGGTAATTTCTCCTTTAATTTCTAAACTTTCTGTAACTTTTTAGACTTAATTTCATAATTATGTTCATAAATACATTACTTTACATTAAAAATATACTTACTGTGATGATGCCAATTAGTTGAGTATAAAAGAGTCCAGTTATTCCAACTAACATAGTAATGCCCATAAAGGCAGCTAGTCTCATTATGGCCAATTCATGTCTAACAACAAAGAGGTCCTATAAGAGGAAAAAAAAGAAAGTCTTAAAAACAATTCGATAAGTTACTTATAGTTATAATAATAATCAAGAATTGAGCCATAACATTTCCCCTTATTAACTTAAAAGAACTACTCTCCTCGTTTTTGAGTTTCTTTCACTTAATACATAAATATTTGAAAATTTCAAAAACAATTGTTTTTAATTCATAGTAGCAAGCTGAAAAACAGGATTTTACTACTCTAGTGTGTCAAAAAACCTCAATTCTAAAGTTGCAAATGAGCCATGCTCATTTACTATCTGTAGAAAAAATTCTCCAAAAACAAAAACAAAACATGTTGAATCTTTGATTCGACAAAAGGAAATTTTAGTATTGTATTGCTAAAAAGCTTGAATGCACAAGCCTGATTCATAGTATTAAACTTCAAGTGACCAAGATACCTAGAGATTATCTAACTTAGTCAAAACGAGGGGGAAACATAAATAACAGGATCATATAGACAGCTCTCTTCAAGCCCACTTCATTCATTCATCCATCCACTCACCCAACTACCACTGCCAAGCACTATGCTACGTAGTAGAAATGCAAAAATGATAAAGATATGGTCCATGGCCTCAAGAAGTATGCAGTTCATTTAGAAAGAGAGTCCTACTTTGCAAAACTCCAAAACAATGTGATATTTGCTCTAACAGGGATGTGTGCAGAGAGGACAGTAGAAACATAAAGGAATGCCTAGACAGGAGGAAGAAATGGAAATGCTGTAGGGGAAAGCTGATTTTCTGGCTCTGGGTATAAAAATGAGGGTCTTGAACGTGAACCAAAGAAATCATGGTGGAAGGACAGGAAAAAAAGGAGAAGCATTTCATGACCCTCACTGTTACCAAGCAGACAGACCAGAGTGAGAGAATGAAAGAGCAAAGACTTCTCCTGAACCCTGTTGTTGCTAAGCTTTGGAATAAAACAGCCACAGGAGAAAAAAGCAACAAACGAATAGGAAGGACCCCAAAAACATAACCACCAACATGCTTTTTAATACTGATTCAGGTAAAGGCTTAGAGGTATCCTGGTAGCAATACCAAAGACAGGGAGGTCACTGAACATAACATAATGCACTTGCTCGAAACAAAAGAACTGATGCTCTTCTACATATCACTGTGATCATTCACCAGACAAGCAAAAATCTGATTCCACACCCAAATCACTCAATTCATTAGCCTGGAAAAACTGAAAATTCACCAAGACACTTAAGGTGCTATGTAGCAGTCATTTCAAAACTTCAGTAAAAAGAACCTAAAGCAGAATCCTTACAAAATATGTAAAGATGAAAAGATGGGGATAAGAATAATATAAAAAATTAAGTACAGTAAGTTCTGCTGTAATGCTGTTTGGAAACACAAATTGGTTCCAACATGACGGATATGTTAAGCAAAAATTTGAGCATAGCAAGTTTTTTATGTTTGCTTATGCATGATTTTATCTGCAAGAAACCCTAGATGAAACGAGGAAAACTGCACCCAGCCAAACCAAGCTACAGAGGAATACACAACACACACGCTCACCCCTCAAACATCTACCAGCTACCTCAATTTATCATACGTTATGAGCCACCCTCATCCAGATCTGCTAGTATAACTTTAGTACAACTAAATTCAGTTTAGAGAAAAGTAACACTACCTCTCAAGAACAAGAACATTTGAAACCACACAGAGGCTTTCCTCTGTGCATTCCTTCCCCATCACATTCTCCCCCTCATCCCTACCCTAAAGGTAAAGGTTCCTGATTCATTTAGATACTACCGTGCTTCAGTTGCATATTGCAAATATCTTCTCCTGCTCTGAGTCTATCTTTTCACTCTCTGCATGGCATCTTTTGATAACCCCAAGTTCTTAATTTTATTGTAGTCCAATTTATCAATATGTTCCTTTAGTGCTTTTTATTTCCTGTTTAAGAAATCTTTCCCAACCCTGAGGATATAACAACATTCTCCTATATAAATCTTCTAAACCCTTTAAAAACTTTATAGTTTTGTCTTTCACATTTAAGTCACCAATCCACCTGGCAATGATGTCTATTCTTTTGTGCACAGTGAAATACAGGGGTCTGAATTTACTTTTACTATATGGATCCAATTGTTCCTGCACGGTTTATTTAAAAAGCTGTCCTTTCCTCAGTGATCAGAGGTCAAGTGTCCATACAAGCATGAGTCTGATGTGGGCTCTCTGTTCTGTGTTCTCGGTTTATTTGTTCATCCCTGTACCACTGACACACATCTTGGTTACTATGGCTTTGTAATAACTCTCCATACCTAGTAGGCCAAGTCACCCCATTTGTTCTTTTTCAAGAATGTCTTGGCTATTCTAGATAATTTTTATTTCCATAAAAATTTTAAAATTAGATTTTCAAGTTACAACATACACTTAGATGTACACACACATATAACATCGTCTCTCCATTAGGCTTTACAATTTTCCCCCTAGAGGTTTTGTATTTGTTTTGTCACATTTAATTTAGGAACTTTCAGTTTCTTGATTTTATTATAAATGGTTTTGCTTTTAATTTCATTGTCTAAAGGTTGTTTGTTAGCATACAGAAATAGAATTGTTTTTTTAAAATCTTGTTTTGTAGTCACACTTCTTAAACTTTCTTAAAAATCCAAAGAATCTACAGATAAATTATTTACACAATGATATCATCTAAGAGTAATGACAGTTTTCTCTTTCAGTAGTTATACCGTTTCTTTCTTTCTCTTCCCTCACTGCACTGACCAGAACTCCTAGCCCTATGTTTAATAACAATGGTGATAGGGGCATAGTGGGCGTCAATGCCTTGTCCCCGAGCTTGGAGGGAAAGAGGTCAACATTTCACCATTAAGCATGCTATAGTTCTTGTGTTGTGTTTTGTGGGGTTTTTTTTTTTGGAAACCTTTCATCTCACTAAAGAAGTTCTCTAGTTCTAGTTTGCTAAGAGTTTACGATGTGAATGGATGCTGAATTTTATCTTTGTCTTCATACATTGCTACATATATTGTCTTCAGATATATGATTTTGTTTCTAATCTGCTAATGTCATAAAATATACTGACTGATTTTCTAACTTAAAAACAACCTTTCAGTCCTAAGATAAACTCAACTTCATCAGGCTGATTATATATAACCAGATTCAGTTTGCTAATATTTTGTTTAGGAGTTGTTTATCTATGTTCATAATCAGACTAGTCTATAGTTTTCTTTCTTTCTCTTATCATCTTTGATAGGTTATGTATCCACCATATGCTATACACATAAAACGAGCTGGGGAGAGCTCCTTCTAATTTTCTATTCTTCACCACCCCCCAAAGCCCCAGTAGATAGCTGTATGTCATAGTTGCACAGCCTTCTAATTGCTGTACGTGGGCCGCGGCCTCAGCATGGCCAGAGAAGCAGTGTGTCGGTGCGCACCCGGGGTCCGAACCCGGGCCGACAGTAACGGAGCACTTAACCGCTAAGCCACGGGGGCCGGCCCTCTATTCTTTTAAAGAGTTTGTATAAGACTGGAATTACTGTTTCATTTTTTTTTTTTTTTTTGTGACGAAGATCGGCCCTGAGCTAACATCTGCCAATCTTCCTCATCTTTTTGCTGAGGAAGACCGGCCCTGGGCTAACATCCATGCCCATCCTCCTCCACTCCATATGGGACGCCGCCACAGCACGGCCGACAAGCAGCGCGTTGGGTGCGCCTGGGATCCGAACCGGCGAACCCCAAGCCGCCAAAGCGGAGCGCGCGCACCTAACCGCTTGCGAGGCCGGGCCGGCCCGTTTCATTTTTGATAGAGCTAGAACTCACTGGTAAATCTGTGAATATTCTTTGCAGGAAAAGTTTTAACTCCTCACTCATGATTATAGAACTACCTATGTTTCCAATTTCTTCTTGAAGCAAGTTTCTTCTTGAAGCTATACTATGCTTATGACCAGGAAACTCAGTAATGTAAAGATGCCAACTATCCAAACTGATGTATAGAATTAACACAATCCCAATAAAAATCCCCCACCAGTAGATTATCTACTCTGCTGGTGTGGGAGTTTTTTATTTCACTTTGATTTCTAAAATTGTTAAGTAAGCCGTTTCTAAATTTCATAAGAACAAACACAAAGAATAACATACCACTCCTATATAAAAAGAACAAGGTGGGAAGGTTTGCTTTACTGCACGCATTCTCAATAGGGGTAGTATCACTCCAAGGAGGGAGAAAATTGGTTCTTGGAGGAAAAAAAAATCTTAGCTATTACAATGCTTTGTGGCTGTACACAAATCAATCCTTCTTGACAAAATCTTATTCCTTAGTATTTAACTTCATAGAGGGAAGGAGAGAAAATGTCTAAAAAGGCTCCTTAGGGGAGCAATAATAATGACAAAAAAGGTTAAGAAACACTCTTCTACTGGACAACAAGATTTATTACAAAACTACAGTTATGACAGTGTGGTACAACCACAAGGACAGACAAATAGACCAATGGACTAGAAAAAAACCAGAAACAGATATATACATGCATGACTCTTGGTCTATGACAAAGATGGCACTGCAGACCAGAGTGGAAAGAATTATCTTTTCAATAAATGGTGCTAAATCAATTGGATATCCATCTGTGAAAAAATGAAACCCTGATTCCAACCTCATAAGAATCACAAAAATCAATTCCAGGTGGAAATATGAAAAATATAATACTTTGAAGACAATATGAGAGAATTATATTGATGATCTGGGGATAGAAAAATATTTCTTAAATTGAACCCAAAAAAGCACTAACCAAAAAGGAAAAGATTGATCAGTTGGAGTACATTAAAATTAAAAACTTCTGTTCATCAAAAAAAACCATTAAGAGAGTGAAAAGGTAAGCCTCAGAGTAGAAGATACTTGCAACACACATAATCAGAAAAAAGCTCGAATCTAAAATATCCCACAATTATCAAAACAAAAAGTCAAACAACCCCCCTTCCAAATGGGCAAAATACCTAGGAGCACTGCACCAAAGAGACTATTCATA